TCTCCAAATTTGCGGAAGTTAATATGTTCAGAGTGTTCTAAAATGTCGAAGTGTTGCATTAAATCGCATGTCCGTACGTCTATATATGTGTATGTGCAGATTTGATGTCCGTGTTTACTCTGACTTCCGCAAATTTGAAGATATCGATCTATTTCTAATTTTATTATATTTCTCAGTCTTTTCTACCCCTATTTCATATACATATAATTTTTTAAGATTTGGTTGATTAGACCCAGCTTTATACGCGATCAAAGATCCATAACTTTGATCGCATATAAAACTAAGTCTAATCAACCGAATTTAAAAGAATTACATATGAAATAGGGGTAGAAAAGATTGAAAAATATAATAAAATTAGAAATAGATAGACATCTCCAAATTTGCGGAAGTTAATATGTTCAGAGTATTCTAAAATGTCGCAATATTGCATATTGAAATCGCATGTCCCTACGTATATATGTGTATGTGCAGATTTGACGTGGCGCGTGGCATGACGGATCTTCCACCCGGCACCGCGGCGGCGGCGTTCCCGGGGAAGACGTATACGCGACGCGGACGCGACTTCCTAAAACCCTGACTTAATTAATTTATATATATAAGCGTCGATATGTTCCGAGATACAATGGCTCTATATCTGACTAATCGTAGATTTGTCATTTCAATAAAAAAAATTCTGACTCACCACGCCGATGTGCAACGGGCGGAGTTGTTCAGCCACGTAGCTACAATGATACTGTAACATACAAACATAAGATTCAAATTAAAGAAGCGTTCAAAATAATCAACATTTTTCAAAATATAATTTTTACGCGCAACTAATTTGTTTTTCAATAAAATATTTAACAACACAATCATCTGTGTTCACCGAAAACGATCTTTATAAGAGTAAAATTTTAGATAATCTTTTTCTCTAATTATTTTTAATTTATCGAGATAAAACAATTCGAATAAATAAAAAAGAACTATTTTAATTTTACGCAGATATAAAGAGATGATACTCACCCCAAGGTTGCTCCGCCGGTGCCCGATGCCTCTCCCAGGCCTCCTCCTCCTCTCAGGGGATACTTAGGCTTCATCGTCTCACCGCACAGGACACTCGCGAGAAACACTCGCGGATAATAAACTACAATCGCGCGCGGACTAATTTCATTAAAAGTCTTTCTCGCGCGATACTGTACGGCACTCCCGTTTAGAAAAGTCCTTTAGTCCGATTACTTGAACGGCACTCCCGAAGCAAACGCGACGAACCGGCTGCGGTTCGTTCATTCAATTAAATCGGCGGACGAGGGTACGTTAGCTTCCCCGTCTTTGAATTTTTATCCAAGCAGAACAAGAGTTTTACTTGGGTAAAATCCTCGTACTGGGTACTGGAGCCTTCCCACCTCGCCAAGGTCGTACCCGTGGGAAGGAAAAGTACTTTTCTCTGTAATATAAAAGCGGGTAACATGAATTTTTCATGCAAATTTGAAGGAGTCGCGACGCCGCGTGCTCCGCGTCGTTCCGCGTTCATCACCGCGTTACCGGCGTTACGTTGTTAATGGGCGACGTAATAATGGGCGACGAAATGTTCCGAGATGTTGGCAACTTGGCGCGATACTACGCAAGTCGAGCGGACGGTTAATAAAGACACGCACTTCGTCAATCAGAGATACGCTGTTGAAATTAAATATCGCACGCACAATACGTTACCAAACTCGTAAATCGAGATTATGAAGCATTCACGAACGGGCGATGTATCGCGGCGTTCCGTTATCACCGATCGAATCACCGGAATCACTTGACACGATCAATATCTCTCAGCCCTTTTTCCCTACGGAGAGAATCGGAGCTAAATCACACGACACGTCCGGCACGTCAGCGTTCTTCGCGAATCCAGACATGGCGGAAGGAGCGACTGTCACTCGCGAATATCACAGCGCGAAACTGCAAAGCAAGTCGTTCATACATACCTCCGCCTCGACGTCTCGAGTGAGCGCGTCGCGCGACACGTTCATTCCGATAAACACCTCATACACTCTAAATTGTTTTACACACACGGCACACGGCGCGCGGTACTCGATCGCGTAGCGCGTATTCCCGCGGCCCGCGAAACGAGGAAGCAGGAATGCCAATCACCGAAACGAGCGCGTTCCGAAAACAGCACGAAGCACGGTGACGTCGGTGACGAGCGCGCGCGAAGCACAAACACTTCCTACCGGTGCGAGATTCCTCGGAAGAATGATAACTGAGTCACTCACGCAGGTAACACTACTCCGAGCGTTGACGAAAACAAGTGACAAGTCCGCTCATCGCCAGAAACAACGTTGAAAACGCGCCGATCTTCGAGGTACGGAGCTTTCGAGTTCAACGGTCACGCCGCTAGTACGGACTGCGCAGGTGCCTACACTGCCTACTACATCACCGTCACCGTATCGATCCGCCGCGCCGGCGGCGCGGAGCGGCGCATGACGTCACGGCCTACGCGCGCGGCCGCGGCCGGTTCAAAAATACCGAAAACTTTCAACGAACAATAAAAGACAACGTATGCCGAATCTTTCGTTAACTTTCACAGGTTTAACTGGCTGTATTCTACGTTCTGCGTTCTGTCTCGGTGGTGTCTGGTCGACGTAGCTGTCTCTCGAAACGCGAGTGTTATATACATATATCGCGAACACGTAGTGATCATTAGCCTGGCGATTACGTAACTCCCTCATACTACGTTTACGCGAGCGTTACTTCTGTAGTAACTTACGATATATCATTCGTTTACGCGGAGTAACGTATCGTAAGTTACTACAAAATCCCGTTTACGCGACGGACGTATCGTAAGTTACTACAGAAGTAACGCTCGCATAAACGTAGTAACAGTCAGTACGTGAGGGATATCGAGGCGACGGGTGGCTGTTTACGCGGAACAGATATTTTTGCGCGATTTATCTATATTTAAAAAATATAATATAAAATAAGGTAAAAAAAAATATAATATAAAATAAGGTAAAAATATCATCAACAGGTGCAATCAAATGCAACTCCCGGGCCGGCCGAGCGCGCGGCCGCCGCGGCCAGAATAATATCCCCTCCAGCTGGCTAGTTCAGACGAACCATTAGCACGGACGCAAACCATGTGCGGTTACCGAGCGATACGACGTAGTTGAATTGCACTTTCTCAGGCGGCGCGTCGGAAAATGCAACACAGCAACACACGAAAAAGACCGGGATGGCCTCTCTCAGGTTTCTCTCTGGTAACGTCAAGTGGACCGCAGCCAGAATCGCATATGTATGTTACTTTCCGGAAATATCCATGGCTATGTAGTTCAATGCAGGTTTTGTGCACATAGAGGCGCCAGTGGACACTGTGGACAGGTTGCATTTGAAACGTGAGTATGTCTTTCAGTCAGACTTCTCTCTGCTATTATTGAAAATAAACTGTCTTATTGTTGATGACGCGTCCCGTGTGTTCAACAAAATTTGTATTTCTAATCTCTTACATTGTTATCTTGCCAAGCGCCAGATAGGAGCAGGGTTGAAGACGCCTTTCTACTCCATAGCCAGTTGGAGTAACCTAACCAAAAAGAAGTTATCTTGCCAATTATTGCAGTAGAGAATCTGTATAATCTAGGCGAAATGACGGAAGAAGCTACTGAAATTGATTGTACACTACGACCAATAAATTGCGAAATTAATTTACTATCAAGGTCTGATGGCTCTACAATGTTTATGCAAGGTATAAAATGATTATTATAAATCAAACGTACAAAGAACATTATAAACAATATTTTATTAGTATAATATTCTAATGTTTCTCTCACGTAGGTGATACAACAATTATCGCAGGTGTAAATGGACCCTTAGAAGCGAGAAGCCAAAAAATGGCATATGACAGAGTTTCTATCGAAGTTACACATACGCCTCTTAAAGGACCAGCGAGTGAGTTTGTCAGACATAAAATTATTACAAACTGTCAGCATTGCGTTGGATCTGTATGGTTGTTTGTCAATTATTTTAGAGGTGGATGACAGACTAATTGAAACATATATAAAAGAGACTTGTGAATCTGCTATATTAGTTTCATTTCATCCTAATACTATGGTGTGCATCAATCTGCAAGAGATGCAAGATTCTGGTGGGGTAAGACTCTGCTTTGTCTATGTTAGCAAATATTTTGAATAAAAATTGAATAATATATAAGTAAACAAATAAAATTTCAGTTACTAGCTTGTGCTATTAATGCAGCGTGTTTGGCACTAATTAATTCTGGACTTTCCATGAAATACACGGTTGCAGCTGTGAGTTGCATGATAGAAAAAGAAGCAGGAGAAGTAATCATGGATCCAGACAGCTCACAATTAAAAGTATTTATAAATAGTAATAAATAATAAAATTTATCCATTTAAGAACTAATTATTTTTATAATTTATTTATTTACAGAATGCAAAAGCGGAATTTACGTTTGCATTTGACAGTATTAACAAAGATATCGTATGCTGTCATAGCATTGGCCGATTTTCTCAAACCGAGTTCTTGGCTTCTATGGATAAGTGCAGACAAGTCAGTAAATATGTGTTTGATTATTATAGGGAAGTAACAAAAAAGTATGCAAATGTAATATAACATTACAATATTATTTTGTTTTTAAATAAACCTTTTTTTTATTTTCTCCTGGATTAATGAAATCTTGAACATATGTACCAACGAGATACTATTACAAAATAGATAGAGTTTTATGATTATCAATGGGGTCCCATAGGCCTGAAGATAATTAAGAAGTATTAATATTATCAATTGTCGATATAAACTTTTTGATCATTAACGTAAATATTTGAATAATTAACTTGATTATAATGCAGTAATAAATTCGTGATTTTTTAAATCAAGATGATAAATTTTAAAATTCGTATTATAAGCTAACAATGTAAATTTTACACAGTCACACAAATTTCTATAAGATTATTTGGTCTTTATCTTATGACATGAATCAATATATGTATATAACTGAAACAACTTTTTATTCAGTTGCAAAAGTGTATAATAGTTGTATCAATTCGGTTAATATTACAGTTCAATATCAACTGTAAAGTCGTGTATGCACCGCGCGTTACATATCGATCATTGGAAAAATGGAAGAAATATAATATTCCTTTTTATCAACTGTAAGTAATATTGTATTATCGTAACACTGAAGCCTAAATTTTACGCTCATATTATGTTTAATTAAAAGAAAATGCATTTCAATTAATATTTATTACTATTCTTAATTAAATCTGAGAAGAAAATATTTCTTCTTAGTTTCCATCGATCATGGCCCTGCGCTTGAGTTTCTGGTTGTTACCAAAAGAGGATGCGCCATGCTTCCTGATTTCTGCTGCCCTCTGATGTATCATACTCTTCTTTGCTAATCGTGAATTTGAAAGTTGTTGAAATGTACTAGAATTGTAGTAATTTTCTAGCACATCATAATTCTAAAGTAATTCATATTTACGATATCAAGTTTCCAAACTTTTTATCAAATGTTTTGAACGATAAAAAATGAACATATATATCTTTTATATCTTTTAAGTATATACTAATAGAATCCATCTTATTAAGAAAATTAAAATATTGTTAACTCTTAACTAAAATATTAACGTTAATATTAACAAAGCAATAAATTTAAGAAATGATTTACGTTACAAGCAAAAGTTTAATGGCATTTAATTAATATTTATTATAAAAATGAATATTAAGTTCAAGTGTACATAAAATACTCTTTTCTTCTAAGAAATCTTTATTTATTATCATTATATGTGATATTTCTAAGACATAGATTTTGATAACTGCCAGTTATTATAATTATTTAAATACGTTGCTAATGATATTTAACCATAAAAACAAATAATTAATGATAAATTGATATAAATCAACTCAATTTGGTTGCTAATATAAAGTAATATAATAGCCCAAACTTCTCTCTCTCTCTCTCTCTCTCTCCCCCCCCCCCTCTCTCCCTCCCCTTTTTTTCTCTTCGTTTGATATAATTAAAAAGAAACACTTAGTTTTATGCAAATAACGCTATACTTTAACATTACTTGATTTTGTTTGTGTGTGTACTTTATTATCGAGAAGCTTGCAATCTCTCGAAAATGAATACACTGAAATGCAACTTGTATTCAGCGTGCGTTCGGTTCTGGCACGTTTAAAGAGGAGCGGATATCTGTCGGTAGAGCCACGCCTGGTCGCCAATCACAGGCTGTACCTACCATCGACGTGTACCCTTTGTGTCCTCCGGACCCTTTTAGTCCTTCTTTCTGGCTCTCAAGAATCCAAAGATTTAGTATGGAGGGGGAGCATCTCTGGACGTCCATTAAGTACAGAAATGAGCCTTCCAAGAGAAAGAGAGAGAAAGAACGCTTCGAACGGGTCGGACCAGATCCTCTCCGACTGGGCCCCAAGACCAAGGGAGATTTGAGGCGGAGTGAGATGGGGAAAGTGAGAAAGCACGAAAGAGTGAAAGAGCAACACACAGTCGAAGCCGGGTCAGACCGGGCCGCGTTTAGCTGAGGTCGCCTCGGGCCCCCAGACCATTAACAAGGAGCGGAGCAATTTATGGACCGGCTCGCTCATTTCCACTTTATTATTATTTTCTCATCTCATAGATGGTCTTCAGTGTCGTTTTGTTCTGCCCCCTCTGCTGCTCGTCCAGCAGCTTCTCTTCTTCCCCGCCCTTCTCCCTCACGTTTCTCTCTTTCTCTCGTGAAATTAATACCCACAGCTGAACTGGGAGAGCCACCGGCGAGCCGCGGCGACTCGGCGATGAGCTCAGAGAGGGTACCTTTGGATGGGCAAAAAATTGCGGAACGCGAAATATTATTGCGCCGCACCGCCTCCTCCTACCACTCAACCTTACATTGATAATAACTTCGACTCGAGCTCATTGGCCCAACATTGTATCCGGAAGTACGTGCGCGTCATTCTAATTATACCTATATTACACAACGCGGTCTTGAAGCTAATAAGCTTACGAATATTACAAAGCGTAATATTATCTAGCAAATGAATCAGACCTAATCACGTCATGCCCGATGAAATAATCATCTGACAGTATTAATTAAGTTTAAATGCAAGAAATAAGTTTTAGAAAATGCTATCAGATTATTAAACAAATAAAATATGCGAACAATAAAGTTACATTGTAAATATATCTAAACGCGAGATTGCGCGCGATTGCAATTCATATAATAGCGAGAACCTGAGATTCATCGAATCTAAGATTCATCGACGCATATTGCATCTAGATATACTAATATACTTTCTTCTTAAAACCATAATTCCACATCATTTATGCTTTCGCGTTAAGTTTTACATTTATAAAAAATATTTCAATGGTATTAGAGATTGTGAGAAAATTATATTGTTATTTTGCTGATTTTGATATCTCTCCTTGCTGAACAAACATAAAAATTGTGAAATTTAATAAGAAGCGAATATTTTTACACAGCGTTCAAAAGTTTAATTTCGAAAAACTTTCTTTTTATCTGTTATTGCTAACTACATTCTTCGAAATAAATCTCTGCTGTTGATATTTGTCTTCCAATATCAATAATGAATACAATGTCGATATCTTTCCTTCCATGTAATATCCCTTCGTTTCGCCTGATATAAGCTCGCGTGACGCAATATTGCCGTATGCTAGTCGGACCGATAAATCCTCGGTGCGCGAGTTAATTTTAAACGGTCACGACTTCCAACCGCGATGACAACACATACGGTGACCTGGCGGCCTCCCTTCTTCTCCCGTGCAGAAGGTCCTCGTCTCGCTACTCTCCTATCCCCGGTTAAAAGCTCTCGGATGAGCTCTCCATTTTACGACCCGCCTATAGGATTCGAACATGCGTCTCAGTGCAAAATAGCCGCCTTTCGCTACCTCCGCTCGAGAAGGTGGGCCCGTCCAGACCCCTTTAGTTTCATTTCTCCCCTTCCATCTGAGGGCCGCTCATCGTTCTGGCTCTCTAAGCCGGTGCTCGCCCATTGGCGCGAGGGTAGTTGTTATGAAATTAGCATGAACGATCGAGTTAAGGCCGCGCGCGAAGGTAATCGCTCCGAGGGCACTGCGCAAGGGATTGGACACGCCAGCGTGGACCGGACCCTTTATCCAATGCCGCCGATAGTAAGGCCCAAACACTGCCTTCGCCACATCCGATTGGCTCGAGACGATTTACGATCGTTTTGCCTCGAATGTCTCCGGTCTTCGTCCGCGCGATGAAGGTGATCGTGGTTCTTGTGCAATTAAGAATCGCGATGTCTTAATGAACGTTTAAGCATTTAGCAGCTCGTATCAGTGACCGTACCATGATTTTGATTCCTTCAAATTTGTCTCTTCTCATTTTTCAATCGATCATAATACTGATATTAAAAATATTGATACTAATAATATCCATACTAAATATACAAAAGAATATTATGGCATTTAATAAATTAAGGAAACATAATAATCTTCCTAGTCTTATTTATTCAAATATTTTATTATTATAAAAAGGAGAGAATATATACGTATATGTGTCATTATTTTTATTAAGTTTATACAACAGTTTGAAATTATGTCACATATTAGACATTTAATCAATTAATTCGTGAACGTAGATGTGCAATTAAAATTGGACAGATCGAGGGACAGACTGAAAAGCTCGCGTAATGCTAAAACTATGTGAAATCAAAATCGGCTGGTAATATTAAAAAGTGATGAGAAAACAAACGTGCGCCAAGTCGAAGGCAAAAGTCACTTGACGCGTGACATGACTGGAAGTGACAGCCGCCGCGTGTAGGACAAGAATCGTACGTCGAGGAACTGACATCGGAGGGATCGTGGACCTCATCTCTGTCGGTCAAGGGCTCAGGTGCAGGCTTCTCGCGTTGGGAATGACGAATCCTCGTCACTCGTCTCGTTCGCTGAATTTATCACGGTACTCCGGAATACTAACGTGCTATTTTGGACATGTGATCGTGTGAATACGTTTTATTAGCGACGATTATTATTATCAGCGTGATTAAAGCTTTCTAATAAGCTTTTCTCTTGTAATAAATAGAATAAATTGTTAATAACGAGAGTTTTCCGCCGGCTTTTTATAAAATATTTATTTTTGAAATATTTGAGACATCCGTGGTTGCGTTTTTAGTCAACGAGATAGAACAATGGCAGCCGCTTTATGTTCGACAAAAATTGTACTTTTGTCAATATATATGACTCGAAAGTGAGAGTTTCGGACAAATTTTGGACGAATAAGAAAACAGTTGAATGATATTTCGATAAATGATGCTTGTGCAAAAACCAGTGTAATTAGTCGACGGTGTCGATAAGCGGAAAAGCTTAGGATGATCGTAATAAAAGAAAGGGCAACGAACCATCGCACGAGCACAAGTATCCCGTGGCGCGACGTTGTCCGATCAGATCGCCGAGTAAGATTGATGGTTTCTTAATAACCGAGAAAAACCGGCAAAACGATCTGTTCACCGCGACACCGCGGGTGGTCAACAGTAAGAATTACACCTGGACGACATGGTTTTTCTTCACGGTCCATTCTGCCAATCCTTGCGCCCTTTCCTCCTCGAAGTCTATTAAGTTTTTTTTTTCGTAACCGAAAGCATAAATTTCTAGTTACGCGTCGACGAGATGCGATCGATTTT